TTGTATTATTGTCTTACATATTGACTCTATATTACCCGATGTTTTGTATTATTGTCTTACATATGGACTCTGTATTACTTGATGTTTTGTATTATTGTTTTACATATTGACTCTATATTACTTTATGTTTTGTATTATTGTCTTCCATATCGACTCTATATTACCCGATGTTTTGTATTATTGTCTTACATATTGACTCTGTATTACTTGATGTTCTGTATTATTGTCTTACATATTGACTCTGTATTACCCGATGTTTTGTATTATTGTCTTACATATTGACTTTATATCACCCGATGTTTTGTATTATAGTCTTACATATTGACTCTGTATTACTTGATGTTCTGTATTATTGTCTTACATATTGACTCCGTATTACCCGATGTTTTGTATTATTGTTTTACATATTGACTCTATATTACTTTATGTTTTGTATTATTGTCTTACATATCGACTCTATATTACTTGATGTTTTGTATTATTGTCTTTCATATTGACTCTATATTACTTGATGTTTTGTATTATTGTCTTTCATATTGACTCTATATTACCCGATGTTTTGTATTATTGTCTTACATATTGACTCTATATTACCCGATGTTTTGTATTACTGTCTTACATATTGACTCTATATTACCCGATGTTTTGTATTATAGTCTTACATATTGACTCTATATTACTTGATGTTTTGTATTATTGTCTTACATATGGACTCTGTATTACTTGATGTTTTGTATTATTGTTTTACATATTGACTCTATATTACTTTATGTTTTGTATTATTGTCTCCGTTCTATCTGTCAGCTGCTGTAAGAATTATTGACAAACTAAAACCTGATCAACCAAAAAATAATTTTATAATTCTCAGTTTCCACTGTCAACCCTCCATAGGAACATTAATAGCTTAAGTTTCTTAATAGCCTTTATAAGGATAGTTTTGTACAGTATAGACTATTTTATCCTTTTCAATACAGTATATTTTCTATACAGAAACGCATGTCCAAAACATTTACATGCTCATCAAAATTTCGTTAATATATCTTATGTTACTTTAATACTGCTTAATTGATTGGAAATGCTGCATAATTGTGGAGCGAAACATTCAAGTTAAAAAGTGATGTTTTGTGTTCTATAATTTCCTGTCTTATGGTGTTTCAGAATATACTGCAAACTCTGAGAAAAGTGAGAAAGAACCTGTAACTTCCTAATGATGAGCTGTTTCATAGTCTGATAGTTGGGAGAAAATTTACCGCATCGTTTTTTTATTTAGATACATATGTTTTCTATACAGATGTTTTAGATGTAATGATGCCATATGATACATCCATAGTTCATGCTTGTAAGATATAGGCCTAACCACATATGATACGATTCCTTTGTACACATCTTCAACTAAGCGCTGGAAAGTCAGTATATTACCTTTATAAAATACTAGAACGGTTTCAGTAGAGATTACGATTTTATGAGCTGTTTGGAGAAGAACAGTTGGAAATAATTTTAATTACCAAATGTATTTTGCGGATAAAACGCTTAGTTATAATATATTAAGTTTGTTGTCACACTTAAGTGTTAGGTGTTGTATTGATTTTTAATGTTTTTCTTAACTGTCATTGCACTTTTACTTATCTTAATTTGAATACATAAATACTATACGATACACTGTTGTAAGGTAAATAAGTAATCAGTGTAATATAGAGCTTATAAAGAGCAGAGTATTTAAATTCACGCTGACACGATTGTATTCCATAATTACTCTTATTCAAAAAATACATCAACTTATTCAGAAAACTAATTGTTTGTTTAAGTTATATATCTGTACTATTTGCAGTTTACGCTGTGCCCACAACAGGGATCGAGCTCGAACCTTAGCATTATAAACCCCCAGACTTACCGCTGAACACTGAGGGACGACTCCTTGAAATCTCACACTCACTAACAAAAAATCACACAACAATAAAAATGATTATTAACCTTAGTATAGTGTATATATATATGTACACATTGCTGGATAAAACATCATATATTATGTTATAGAAAGTTCCCTTTGCCACCCAGTGGCTCAGCGGTAAGTTTGAAGGCTTATAACACTAGAAACCGGGCTTAGATACTCGCTGATGGCACGGCACAGATAGCCCATTGTGTAGCTCTCTGATTAACAACGAAACATAAAGAAAACCGAAAGCTGATTTCGAATTCTTATTCATTCAGCTATATATATAGCACATAATTGGGGAATTATTCTCTCCACACAATGTTAAACGGAAAGCTACAGTATGAACATGAAGAATGAACGATTTTCACAGTATGCTGATTGTTCTACAAGATTGGTTGTAAATGTCATAAATTTTGTGTTTCTGTATTTAAAAAATCAGGATAAAGAGTTGTTCTAAAAATCATTATGATCCGACATTGTAGATAATGAGAGATTTACGATAAATCCGAAGCTTTATTCGTTCATCATATGTATATTTTTATACTTTT